CACCAATAAGGAAGTTTTTGATGGATGAAAATTATGAGGAAGATGGGTAGCTGCGCGCACGACGGGTGCCACGGCACGTAACTGCTCGAAAATTTCACTTGCTTTAGTGACCCTTTCGTGTGTCAATGATAGAAGCTTTTGACAACAAAACAAACCAAAATTTAAATTGTTTTAATATTTAGTTGAGATTACAGAGACATGAGACACATCAATGAAATGGCACATTCTTTCAACCGTAAAAAATATAACAAAAAAAATAGAACTCTAATTTAGCATCTGTAACTTACTAAACCTTCAGCAGTTCGAATGTCCATCTTAAAAGAACTAGGCTAATAAGACGAAGCTAAAGCTATAACGTCAAGAATGAGCGGATAGAGACCACGTGAGGAAACAGGAGAAGCAAAACAACAGCGCTCAACTTGGCAGTAATTCAAAACAAGTATTGATGAGCCATATAACCAATCAATTCATTATGTACACATCAGAAAAGTTTCTGGTCACACCCGATTCATGAATGATAACGCCACCCACAAATGGCTCAATAATGTGAGATATTTTGGGGTAAGAGCTACTACAGCAACTAAACTGAACTGTATGAAGCTTACCGTATTGCCACTCTGTAGCCAGAAGTTATTGAGGCATTTTCAAGAGAGAACATTGATGACTTTCTTGTTATGCTTCACAAGAATTCGAACAAAGAGTTGCCTAGCAAACAAATTACTCATATGGTCGTTAACACGTTTTCCAATCTCTGCTATTCGCTGTCCGCCCTGAAATTGGCGCAAATTAAGAAAACATATATGTAACCAACATGCTTTATCAGAATAAGAGCTATGAAAGTAAATGCACAAACTGGATCGCCACTAAGATGAAAGTAAGAAACAGTTAAAAACACTGAAAATAAGCACCCCTCTACCAGACTGTGAAGGACTCTAACCAGGAGAGTGTTTCACCTTCCCATGGAACTTTTAAGACCTAGGGAAATCGATAGAGCCTTGAGTGATGGTTAGAATGTGACGACGAGTACTGCTACCTGACTCTGCCAAGGGGTTGTTAGCGATCGGATGCTCCCAAGTTGGTTTCCATGCGGTGAAAAAAATTGCATTCTAGATTGGTGCGTCCAGATTGAGGTCAAGTGGTGCCAGCGCCGAGAGCAAATGTCATCTTCGTGATCAGGGCCATTAGTTTTCCTTGCAAATATGCTCTTACCAAATATCATAACACCAATGCTGATTGACAGCAAACTTTGATACTGACAATCTCCTAGACAGGCTCACATAGCAATTTTGCTTTTCATATTTGTAACCAGCTTTCCAGGCTCTAGCTTTCCAGGCCCTCGCAGCTTTTCCTGGGGTAGGCAGACAGTAGTAGTAAGGGAGCAATATACAGAGACCGCAACTAAGGGCGTACAGCGACCTTTGTCCCGAACTCTTACCACCCTTCCTACGCGCATCAAGACGTAAGAGTGCACCACTTCTGCAATTGATAGTATGACAGCCTCTACTGCGGCTGGGTGTGTTCCAGTGAACCTGATAGTGAGTTGTAACTGTGGATTCTTGGCTCCCCATAAGCTCGCATTGTATCAAGGGTCGTGAAGGGAATCAGAAAGATTTCACACGATTCCTTCCAGGTCAGCTGGCATTTAAAAGGTTTTGTGTGTCCAGACTAGTCTTGTTCCTATCAACCTGATCGGGCGCGGCTCGAGCGGTTGCTTAACAGCATCCCACTCTGAGAAACAAAGAAAAGGAATCACATCGTCTAACAATTCTAAGGCACAGAAAAACAAATTCTAAGGCACTAAAATAAACATGAAGCCAGGGTTTCGGCAGCTGGAAAATGCGCATGCTATGAGACTTCAATGCAGCTTCATGATCAATGGTGGTAAGTGAGCGTAAAGTCAGACTATTCCTCACCTATACTGAAAGAAAAGTGGCCCTTAAATTGTGCACAGATACCAGGAATTTACTACACCCACTGAAATGAAAAACACCCTCACTTTGACAAGGGGTCTCAGTTATTAACGCCACTAACCATTATGCTGCGTTGTCTCATGCAGTCAAAAAATCGATAACGTTTTGGAAAGTCAATCACATACCTTGCCTATAATAAGTTTTCCTATACGCTCTTTTTCGCAGTGGATGTCGACGACAATTTGAAGAACCTACAAAGTTGTGGATTGAAAAAATTAATCAAAAATTGTGCCAAAAATAGAACACCTCTCCGTCTTCATTCCATTCACTGATTTTTGGCTGCAAAACATATGCCACATTCGCCGGCAAAGTGTCGAGCAGAGCAGCACGGACCGATTCCACACACAGTTGTTGAGGACTCTTAAAAGTTGGCAGTGGAAAAGGAAAAACAAATACACAAGCTCACTAAGCAGATTCCACGCAGTGGAAGGAAGGTAGGAAGCAATGGAACGATCATAGCTTTGAAGAGTATAAGCAAGCAATTTGAACTTACTACCTCCTCCCCCCCCCCCCCGCTCTTCCCTCCCTTTAAGAGAATTACTTAATCACAATTTGTTTGATAACCACAAATGATGGCTATGATCACTCAAAAGCATGTTGGAACTTCGACCATAAAAAAAGCACCACAAGGAGAGGGGGATCATGTTTCAATAGGTGGTACCCCTCCAGCGGTCCATTTTTCTACACGAGGAAGGTAAGCACCGGAGGGTATGAACCAGACTGCTTGTTGAAAAAGGAATCCTAGTGACTAAATATGTTTGTCATGGTTTTGAGAGCATTGGGTGTTGTGCACAAAATACTCCCTTCCCCACTTCCAACCACTTGCGAGCCGGAAAAGACAATTGTTGAGAAAGAAATGAAGAAAAATTCTTGGAACCTTAGTAGTTATGGTCATTTGATCCAACCGCCAGCGTTTCTCTGAAGCCATGTCTTTCAAATGGCGTCGTAAAGGGTCGATTCCTTCACCGGTCAAGTGAGGAAACTGTAAAAGTAAACTAAGTTTAAGCAGAAAAACCTCCTGAAGTGAAGACACACCAAAGAACACGGCACAAAAATTGCTCCATCCGCGTATTTCAGAAAAGAGCCTCTTAGTTTCTGCAAAACCAACCTTGTGCGAAGGTTTGTTGATCACAGCTCTAAAAAAGACTCTTGAAATTTCGTTTACATTGCACTGAAAAGGGTGGAAAAACACAAAGAGATCACCTGAACTTTTCCTGCCATTCCTCATCTTGCATTTTAACAGTCTCGTCATGTAAAGTGAAGTCTTGTGATGGGGTTCCTAGACGTCCGATCTGTAGAATAGGAACATTGTCCAGGAAGATCCTCCCACAATCAAATCAAAAGGTGCGTGGCGTTACGCTCAGATAATCGGGATATAGAAACAGGGTCAACCGTCCGCTGGACAAAGTCCAACGAGGGGCTGGGGGAGGGGTCGTATTTGCGCGATCGAAAAGAGGGGGATCGCGTTTCGCAAGCTTAAAGCTTAAAGGCAACGTTAGTGTTATAGTAATGGAAGAATTTTTCATGGAACGGAATGGAACGGATTGGTTGGTAGGTTTTGTGCGCTAAATTTTTGCCGTTTCACATTTGATGTATACCCCCGCTCGACGGGAAGTTTTGAGGAGAAAGTGGGCGGAGTTGGGCTGCGGCGACTGGTCTCAGAATCAAATACTTTAAAATCAGGCGATGATGAGGGTGGTGGTCGTTATTGGTGGAGCCTTCTGAGTCTCATGGTGGTGGTCGAGGGTCGTGAAGGGTTGACCCTGAGAGAGGTCGTATCGAGGCTCTCAGAAGGGGGAGGGGGATCGTAAAATTTTCGCATCTGGTTCAACGTGACGGATGACCCTGGATGGAAACCGGGTGCGACATGTTCCCTTTTCGCGGCGCTCAGTTTATCGCTTCGGGAACCCCAGGTCTATTTGTGATCAGAGGTGAT